GGGGGGGGGGGGGGAAATATTAAGCATGTACCTCTAAGTGACCTCTCGACCAGCGAGCTCTGCGTACTTGAGCAGCATGAGGAAGAGTTTGTACACGTACGGTGAAAGCTGAGGCGAACACACCTCGTAGAAGCGGCAGAAGTCTATCACTAGGGAGGGGAGAGGAAGCGTATACCCAACAACGAAAAGGTACGCGTAGAATGCGCAGTACCCCGGGCGGTGTAGATGCACAATGTCTGTTCCCGTCGCCGGTACCATTTCAATGTGATTTGGAATTCCCCGAGCGCCGCAATCGCCACTTCGTCCATGGTAGATGACGCAAGCTCCGGCTCTTCTCTGGCGGGGCTGTTAAAATCATTCTATATTTTCCCCGGATGGGGCAATATTTCAACCGCTGTTGGAACCCCCTCGTCTTCCGCCGCCTCCGCTCCTTCTTCGAGAATAGGTGCGTTATTTTTCGGTACCGGAGCTTCAACGGGCGTGTCAGTGTGGGAAGAAGTACCAGCCATTTGTCTCGATTAATCGAAGTAAATGAGTAAGAGAAAGGGAGAGAGAAGATGGAGGCATCAATTTCTGGCTAACGGGAGAATGAACTCAGAAGTTTGAAATATTAAAGAAGGTAAAGGTTTGCAAAGCTCTTCTGACAAGTCGAAAAGTGTAGCAATAGGATGGTGTTTCCTCTATTTATAGGAACATAAATGTCCTGAGCGGGAAATCGAAGAGGTGCCAATTAAAACTGATAGGGCACAAGAAACGATACGATTCCTGGGAAATGTGCGCCATAATGATAGTGGCTATTCATGATGCATCGAATCAATACAACGGTTCAACTCCGAACGGACGTAACGGTCCGATGGTATCATTGAAGCGTCACGCCGCCACCTCAACCTAAAGGCCTCGTTTAAGGTGTAAACATTCAGATTTCTCCTAACTTTCGAATCGACAGAGTCCGCCCGTCAAGCCCGCCAAGAGGCGACCTCGACGGGCGGAGGGACTAACTGTATGGGTCAAAATCTGACCATAGTGGTCGTCCTCAAGAGGAATAATAAAGGGTCGACCAAGCTGTAATCATGCCCATGGGCGAAATAGCGAAGAGCACCTCGACCATCGTCGGGGTCAAATCGTCAGAAAGCGTACATCATAAAACCAACGTTGTTTTCGAGAAAACAACGAAACGTACAGTCGTAAGAAAGTACATCGGTCAAAGANGTGGGGGTTTGGAAGAGAGCAACCACAATAGAGGAATCTCTTGTTTATCAACAAGTTACCTCTCTTCCCTTTCTATGCTCCCATGATCATGATGCATCTCTGCTCTGAATGTAAGCTTATCTCTCATGTTTGATGTACGATTATCACATTAATAAATCTCCTATGTTCCTATTCTTCTTTTATTTCACACTTTATATGCTTGGATCTGAAATTAATTATGTTTGGCTAAGATTTACCTTCTTTATTATCAATAATTAGTTCGACAAAGAGTTTAAAACTTTTTGCTCAAACACATATAATAAATGAAATATGAATGATTAAGATTCAAAAAATTTCATTAGTGCAAGCGAACGGGCCTTAGTCTTTCTTTCCTTTTCCTTTTCCTTTTCCGTTTCAGTCTTATCTTGAATATATCATTTTTTATTACCATTGCTTGACTTTCGTTGTTGTTCTTTTAATTTCGTTTAATACTAGTGCTCCTTGTTGTACGATAGAAATAGAAGAAGAGTGGAGCAAGTTTGCAATAAGCTCTCGCCATTATTAGATTCTCAAATTGGTGACAAATTAAATAGTCACAAGTGCCCATTCCATGCATGTGCCAACCCATTATTAAGTTAAATCATTGTTCTTGTGCAAAAGGAAACAAGAACAAAAGAGTACAAGAAGTTAGGAGGAAAATACTCGCATTATAGATGATTTTTTTCCCCATTATAGATGAATATTGAGTTCATCTTCATGCATCAAGTGCAAGAAACCATGTCGTCGAATTGAAGGGTTTAATTCTTAGCAATCCAAGAAATTAAAACCCGAAAAAATTAATTCCACCCCGCAGCTTGAAACTCATAAATTTAAGTTGGAGGTATTTTATTAATCCCTTGACGTTGTAATTCATTCAACACACTGTCGATTGAAGGAGGTTTGAGTCCGAGGGGTGGTGGTGGCAGACATGGCTTTGCTAAAACATCTCCAATGGCCGCATCTATGCTCTCCTTTGACTATCACAATATTCAAAAAAATATGTCAAGAAATAAAATCATCAAAATTTTTAAAGTTGTGTTAACTTATAGTTTTAGAAGAGAGCAAAGAACAAATTAAATGCATTATTTTTCCTCATTTATAACTTTTTTTTTTGTAACGCCACAAATTATTTTCTGTAACAGTAAAATCACTAAATTATAAGTCACAAAATTAATATTCAAAAAAGAGAGAGCTTACAGGATGAAAATCAGAAGGAGGTTTAGGTAGATTTTGGCCTGCTCCGGTGGGGACAGCTTTGAGCATGGCAGGGGGTGGGATGCCCTGAACTGGAAATCTCTGCATGAAATTATAAGTCTGATTAAATAAGACAAAAATAAACTTATTTAAAGGGGTATGCAATTTTTTTTTTTTTTTTTGACATTAATTCTGTTTGAACAACCTAATGCACTAAGCTCCTATCTCACTATGTGCGTGGTTCAGAGAAAGGTCAAACTACAAAAATCTATTGTACGCAAGACTCTGTTTCCACAGCGAACCCTGACCTCCTAGTCATATTGCAGCAACTTTACCACCTACCAAACCTCCCTTTCTAAATATATCCAAAACCAAAAAGCATGCAACTGAAAAATAGACTTCATATAGCAAATAGTTGATTGATTGAATAGTTACCGTGGGCGCTATTGGTGAAGGAAAGCAAGGAGTGCCTGGTGCAAGAGAGTTTAGTACCTGCACCAAAAGAAAAGAGAATATTAGTTCACTCCCAAAATTATATGCACATTAATTCCAAAGATTCAAGTCATACTTGTTCATTCTCACTCAACAACTATAATATTTTCAAGTGAAAAAAATATACTACACCGCTAATGTTCTACTAGAAATATTCATGTTATCGCTTTAACTCAACGCATATAACTTAAACTCAGGGGTGAAGCTACACTCTTATAAGGGTGGTCAATTAACTATCCTCCGTCAAAAAAATTACACTGTATATATAGGTAAAATATTAGATTTTAGAGGTATATAATATATATGGAACACCATTTCTCGGGATTTTTTTTACTTTCTTCAAGTTTGAACAACTTTTGAGAAATTTCTGGCTTCGCCACTGCTTAAACTCATATATAATTGAGAGAAAAGCAATAGAGATTGAGATAAAAAAGACACTCACTCTTTGATGGTGTGAATGCCAAAAGGAAGGATCTATAGGTGGTGAAGAATGAGGAGGGACCGGTGCCCATCCTGGTGGAAGAGGCGTTATATGTTTCGGCCACATGTGCATCATAGATTGATCGGTGGGCGGATGGCCCCAGACGTGTAGAGGTCTAAAATGAGGCGGCACCATGGGTGGTGCCGTCATAGGTGGAAAACCCATGGTTGGTGCTGACGGCCATGGGTTTATGTCTCTCTTTCCGCCACCTCCAACCACGGCTGCACCGCCGTACATTTGTTTTCTTTGGCTCCAACTTGCCGCCTCTGCTTCTCTCGCAAGCAAATGTTTCCAATGGGCTCTATATTTCTGCACATATAACAATATCCCTTCTATCAGCTGGGTGTTATTTGTTGCAATATGTGTTCTGAAATAGTTAAAATATTGTCTTGCATTGAGGGTGTGACTTAGCCATTAATACATTAGGTTAAAACTTTGGAGATCAGGATTTAAATTACGACAAAGACAAAAAAATACGCTGTGAGATCTTTTTATTTACCTAAGCCTTGGTATCTGCATGCAACCTTTGATGAAAGGTAACACGTAGTTGATAGAATAATTGAGGTGCGCAAAAGTTAACCCCAACAATCCGTTATAAAAAAATATATTGTCTAATATATTTAATTAAACTAGTTGAACTAGAGTAAAACACAATATTGTAATCTAGCACAAAGGCAGACCTATTTATAGTGTTGAGGGGTCATCGAACTTCGTAAGCTTTGGCAGAAATCTTGTATATGTATATGTGTATATCCTGAAAATGATTATATAAATAACTTGACATCCTCAACACTAAAAGCTTTTATGGGACACTGGTTGACTGAAACAGTAATGCCCGTTAAAATCCTGGGTCCGCCTTTGATCTAGCAAGTCTTACACTCAGAGTTCTGCCTTTTATTAAAAGGTGGTCTGTAAGATAATTGAAGCCAAAAACAAGGGAATGCAGCCATAATAGCTCGTACAATTGATAGTGATCTAATCCTTTTACAAATTAATTTCCACTAAGCTCCTCTTGAGAAGGACTTTTAATTTTCCATTGATACTGGTACACTCAATCTACTGAAAAATGATTATATACTTTTTGTTCTTGAGCCGAGGAACCGGATTCATCTGAATTCGGTACTTTTAGTGGAATGCACAAATATTAGTGTAAAAAATATATTAAAATCACAAAAATACTAAATATAAACTCATAATCTTAAAAATATAATAAATTTAATACGAAAAAATCTTAAATATTAAATTGATAGAAGTTAAATCCTGAATCCATATAGGGAATAGAAGAATGCTTACTTGAAGATGGCTAGCAATGTTATGGCGAGTGAGACCTTCAACACCCATGAGTTCTAAAATCCTAGATGGGACTGCTTTATCTACACCTAATTGCTCTACTGCTTGTACAAATCTCCTGTGGAGCTCTGGCGTCCAATCCACCTTCACACAATTCAAGAAACTTTCCATTTTATCCAAAATAAAAAAACTCAAGCCGGAAAGAAAATAAATTAAAGGACAAACAAACAAAGAGAGAGAAAAACATTAACTTTTCTTGCCGTTGTTACTGTTGTTTTTGGCTTTTTTCATTACTGTATTTTTTTAATCACTGCTATGAATGTGTTTTGCTTGAGTCGAGAGTCTATTATAAACAATATCTCTACCTCGGCAAAGTAGGCTGTATACACACTATCCTCCTCAAATACCATTTGTGAGATTATACTGAATTTGTTGTTGTTGTTGTAGTCCTATATATAACAAGATACAATTAACCTATCTAGCATAGGTTTATGGAGTTATTTAAGTTATCTGCAATTATCTTTTCAATGATCTAATTGTGTAAATATTTTTATTATCATCGAACTTTAACTCCGAAAGAAAGGTTTTACTTCCTATGAATTACATGAAAACCCTAAAAATATACTACTAAAGTGAGGAGCATACTGAGAAGTTCATTCCTCATGTTATTTCATTGGAAAAAACTAAGACCAACAACAACAACAATTACAATAACAGACACATAATGTAATCCCATAAGTGATGTTTGGAAAGAGTAGTGTATACGCTACCTTATTCTTATTTTGTAAAGATAGAAAGGTTGTTTTTGATAGACTCTCGGCTAAAAAAAATAAATCTAAGACTAGAGACGATATTTTTTAATTATATTTTCCTCAAATCTTCTTCTTTTTTTTGGTTTACCTTCACTTTTCTCTTCCCTTCTGGATTTTTGGATTGCCCCGATGATTTCTTGCACTTATCATTTTCCTTTGACTTGGGTTTAGATTTTTCACTCTTCTGATTCAAATCTGATGGAACTTTTTCCACTTCTTCGTTTCTGGAAAAGTTGTGTTCTTCTACGTGGAGTGGTGGTGTAGTAGTATTATAACTATTCATACGATCAGATTCGTCGCCACTACTAACTGAGAATTCAGCAAGCATCTCTGAGTCCATCTCCAAATCTGGTAGCACATCATCGTCGACGTTGATCCCCAAGAAAATGTCATCAAAATCAATGCTTTCGAGCAAATTCCCATCACCAAACTCTGGAAAATCATCGACTCCTCCAATCGTGAAACTTTCCATGTGATTATCCCTGTCATTTTTGGTGGTTTTGTAGCTCAGAGGTGATACAGTTAGCATCCCTGTCAATTTTGTAATAATTAATGCCACGTGAAATGAATATAAGGATGCAGAAACTGGAAACACCAAAGGAGAAAGAATTTAAGTTTTGGAACTGAGGAGAGGACTGTTGTATAAGGGGAGAGGAGAGGGTGGAAAGATTTGATTTCCACCACAACATGTGTAGAACGTCTCTATTTTTTTCTCTTTGTTTTGGCTTGTTCTTGAATTAAAAATATATTATAGTATTTCCTTTTAATATTTAAAGGGTTTGTGGATGGCCTTTTTTCGAATATAGAAAAAATCTAGTATTACAAAAGCTCGTGAGCTGTTCTATTAGCTTTTGTTTCTTTTTACTATTTGATTGGGCAGTTCAGTACACAAGGTATTCCGTGTTTGTAGGATTTCCGGAAGGGCCATACCCAAGTGGTGATGTAGATAGCCTACTCTAGGAGTGGAGGCACAAGCCAGCCTACGGTTTCGATCGAGCCCAGTAATTTTTGTTCCAACAATGGATTTGATGATTTGAATTCATGAAAAATGTATAAATATTAAATCTAGAACCCTGTTATTAACACTTGCAGTTGTGATCCCAAATTTCAAAACCCATAAGGTTGAAATCCTGGCTCCACCTCTGGCCTACCCTAATGCAAGTATTTAGCATTAGCAATTGCTTCCACGACTCAAACACGTGAATGATAGATCACAACTTTCTACTATTTGATTGAGATGAGAAAAAACGGGGTGAAGTTCTCAAGTTGATCTCACAGCTGCCTCTAAGTTGTGATGGAATGATTTAGACTCCTTCAATATTCTTTAAAGATTTCGAGTTCGAGCCTTAGAAATAAAAACCTCACTAAAGAGTGGATTGATATGTACGAATTCATGTATATCCGTTTGAATAATGCAAAAAAAGAAAAGAAAAAGGAACATGATATATCATAGTTAATCCAAACATGCTTTGCTTATTTTCTCATGGTTGGTGTGTGGAATAGTGAACCTGTTTGCTTTAATTTCTAGCGAGAAAAATAATGATAGATTATTAGAGTGTATAATTTGTAGGTTGGAACTACATTCGATCGGGTTAAAATAGGTTGAATCAAAAAGAGAGTTGGGTTATCGGGCTAAATTGTGCGAGTTAATTTGAGTTAAATAATGGGTCATAATCAAACATTCTAACTAAAAAGTTTTTTTCTTTTTTTGTGTTTTGATAAATTCTTGTATGGATCAATTCTAGCTATATACATGCATTCAAAATTCCCAGACCAAGTCATCCAAATCTGAGCAGATTTAACATGATATATATATATATATATTGTATTGGGAAAAAACTGAATTTATATTAAAAATAATGTGGCATGACACGTGAATTAGCTGAATGGTCAAAGAACAGCAATTGACTAAGAGGCACGGTGAAAACACGGTGAAAACAGCCACGGGAAGAAGAATTTAAATAGGCACGAGACGATGTATAGATACGAGTCTCGTACCAATTTAAATTATTTACAGTCAACGGATTAGAAGGCATTAAAAGCAAGGATCAGATGACAGAAAGGAGTCCAAATTCATTATTAAATGTCTGATACGTTATAAAGTTGGTATTTAATAGGAATGATTGTATAACGGCTTATTTAATGTCATTTATTGCTCATGATTATGTCATTAAAACTGATGCTTTATTCCTTTACCTAGAATGATCTATAAAAGGAAGAAGTATCATCATTTGTGAGAACACGATATACTATTGAGAATACACTGAAATACTTATTTATTTACCCTCTACCATTGTTCTCA